TACTTTTCTGTACAGAGCATACACACTGGCCATCCCCACCCAGTGGGTCTGGGGAAGTTCCTAGCGATAGAATTTGCGGGTCAAAGGGGTCGAGCTCTCAAAGTTGTCTGTTCCTGCTGCCTTCTCTGCAATCTGCCTGTGCAGTATAGTATTAGAGTAGTATGGACTTTTTTTTTCTTTTACTGATGGCATTTATTCATTGGACGTGCTGATAGGTTTGGGGAGAACAATTTCTCTCAAGTAAGTGTAGCACGAACCTTGAGTGTTTTCACTACCCAGCATTCCCTTGTCTTTCTTCCCCGCCACTCTCTCCTCTCTGACTTGTCTCCGTCTTTTCCCTGGTCGGTCCCTCTTCTGCTGTCACGTCTCATGTGTACGGCTTTCTAAAATACGTAATACGTGTGTGCAGCCTGTGATCCACAAAGGAGAAGAAAACATGCAACGTTTGCCCGAGTCCGGCTCAGTTCACGTAATGCCATAATTTCCAGTTGTTTTCCATTTTCCTGCAGCAAACTATAATTTCATCTTCTTCATGCATGAGTAAAGCTCCATTTTGTGTAATATAGCCTCATTTTCTTTAATCACTCGTGGGTTGATGAGCACCTGGGTTGATTTTTATATTTTTGTTTTTGCTTTTGTGAATAGTGAAGCCATAAAACATGGATATGTAGGTGTCTGGTGTGTTGAGTTGGAGACTTTTGGGTATGTTACCTAGGAGACCTTTGGGTGTGTTACCTAGGAGACCTTTGGGTGTGTTACCTAGGAGACCTTGGGGTATGTTACCTAGGAGTGGTGTATCGGGTCAGATGGTAATTCTGGTTTTGGTCTGTGCTGATTTTCACAGCAGCCAAATCCGTTTATGTTCCCGCCAGCCACGTATGAAGGGTCTTATCCTCCCGGCATTCTTTGCCAGCATTTCCTCCTAATGGTAACCATCTGACTAGAATCTCAGTGTGTCCCAATTATTTACATTTCTTCTGCAGGTGAAGACCTTGGACTTTATTTTTTTTTATCCGTGTTTTCTGGCCATTTGTGCTTCATTGTTGTCTACTGTATTTTTTTTCTATTGGCCCTTCATTGTGACTTCTTTAGTGTGTGTACATGTTCATGTGTGTGTGTGTGTGTGTGTGTGTGTGTGTGTGTGTGTGTGTGAGTGCTGCATGCATGTGCCTGGAGGCCAGAGGTCAGTGTCGTCGTCGTCGTCATCATCATCATCGTCATCAGTATTTGAGACAAGGTCTTTCACTGAGCTTGAAGCTAATCGGTTCAGCTAGCCTGGCTGGGCAGGGAGCCCTGTAAATTCTCTTGTCTCTGCTCCCTAGTCTGATTATGAGTGCTGGGGACCTGGGGTCCAAGCTCACCTTACTGTAGGAGCTCCCTCCTCACTTCCAAGCCCAGCTGTTCATTGGCTCCTTTGCTTCTTTGGGTTCTTGGTTTTTTTTTGTTTGTTTGTTTGTTTTGTTTTTTTGGTTTTTCGAGACAGGGTTTCTCTGTATTGTTTTGGAGGCTGTCCTGGAACTCGCTCTGTAGACCAGGCTGGCCTCGAACTCACAGAAGTCCGCCTGCCTCTGCCTCCTGAGTGCTGGGATTAAAGGTGTGGGCCACCAACGCCCGGCTTGGGGTTTTTTTTTAGTTATTTATATATCCTAGGTATTTACTCTTTGTCCAGACATACCCTAGAGCAGCGGCTCAACCTTCCCAGCGCTAAGACTCTTCAGTACAGTTCCTCATGTGGTGATGACCCCCCAACCATAAAATTGTTTCGTTGCTCTCTCATAATGGTAATTTTTGCCACTGTTGTGAACTGTAATGCAGATACCTTATACATGACCCCTCCCCCTAAGGGGTCGTGACCCACAGGTTGAGAACAGCTGCTTCAGAGAAAGATGGTGCTGGGAAAGAGCGGGGCAGCCTGAAGACACGGCCAGACGCAGACTCTCTGGAAGCAACTTCAGTGGCTCGGGAAATAAGCCAGCATTGACAAGCAGGGGGGCGTGGGACCGAGAGGGTTTTGTACAGCAAAGAAGATACCGGAATGAGAAGACCCCCCCCCCCTCCACAAAGGAGGGAGATTGTTTTCTTTAGTGAGTACAGAGCGTGCTGTATGGCCTGTGTAATCCTGGGCATGGAGACTGTGCAGACAGAGGAAGCAAGCAGGCCCTGGGGGGTTGGGGCTTGAATCCCGTCCGGTGGCATCAAGTGACACCATCGGAGTGTGTGTGCAGAGATGGTGGCCAAAAGAGGACCCAGCCAACGAGGCCACCTGTGGCGTCACGGGTTTCTTGTGGGGAGGTCAGGAAAGGCTGTGGTCGAGTGTGTGGAGGAATGTCTGAGCAGTCAGAAATGACTGGTTCTGGCCAGCCAGAGTGTGCGTCCGGCGGCGGAGGCAGCATTCGGGTGCCCTGGGAGACTGTCTGTAACAGGAGCAAGCAGGCTGATTGTATCAGGACGGTTTAGAAGGGGCTGCATTCTCCTGGGAAACTCACTCTCCCCGCTGTTCTCTTCCCCTGACACATTCCAGTGGGGACCACATGTCCCTGGGATGAAGAGGTGTGGCCAAGTGTAGGGGGAACTCATCATAAGGGTTTGATTTGGAAACCTCTGAACAAATGACTCTGAGGCCTTGAACTCGCCATCACAGCCCTATTTCAGTGTCTGCTGCAAGGCGGGGGAAAAAAATCTGCAAAAGATGTCTGTTCTCGGTTGCTGTGAGACTCTCTCTCGTGTTATCTGTCCTCACTGGTGACGGAGCGTGAAGGCTATGGGGATCTTTGGCGGAGTTGTTGGGTTGGCTTTATAGAGACACCTTTTCTCAGCGGTTTGCATTCCTCTTGTTTTGTTTTCTGTTGTTAGCTAACCCTTTGGTAGCTCAGACCCGAAGATTCCTCCATCTGGTAAAATGTAAAGGCGTGATTTCCGTGTAGTAGTCACCTCTAGTGAGCCATTTTGTCATTTTTTTTAAAGGTGCTTTGAGTATTGCTTTTGGCATTTCTTGAAGCTGAATCATACATCTGGTGTGTCTGAATCTTGCCTGTGTTTTAAAAGTGTGACTTTCTCCTACTTCTATCATGTATTATTATCACATTATTGATTTGGCTTGTTTGTCTGTGTGTGTGGTGCATGCCGTGTGGGGTGTACGGTGGAGTCTAGAACAAGACTTTGGTGTCTTTCTGCATCACTGTCTTCATTATTGCTTTGAGACAGGGTCTCTCATTGAACCAGAACATTGTAGTTTACCTCAGGCCGGCTGTCCAGCAAGAGTGTTCCACCTGTCTCCCCTCTCAGGACACACGGAGCCTGGCCAGGCTTTCTACCTGGGTGCCGGGGCTTCTAGTTCGGGTCCTGGCGATTGCCGAACCCATGGAGCTGTATTTTTCTTTTGTCTGCCTTGTCTCTTTGCAAAGTTAAAAACTAGTCCACAAAACCATAGACTACGTAGGGGCAACGTGTCTATCTAGCTGTAGTGATTTCTCCGATGTATCCGATTCGGGCGGGTGCCTCTCCCTCTCCGAGTCTGCTCTAGGCAACAGTAGACAGGATGTCCGTGGGATCCTCAGACTCTCGGACCCCGCCCCAGCTGTTGCATAGAATCGGCAGGTTGGCAGGTAAACGTCCTCTCCAGTGGCGAGCTTCAGCATCTAAAAGCCTCCGTCCCTGCTTTCTGTTCGCTTGCTTTCCACGCTCCTTAAAAGGTGCCTGGCATCGTGACAGGATTCTCTCCCACTCATGGGCCCATTTAATCCTCAGGACAAGTCTCTGAAGGAGGTGTCATTGAAGCTAAGAACAGTTGTCACTGAGCCTGCCAAAGATATCATGGAATGACACTTTCTCGCGCCTGTGTGCCCCAAGTCGGGGACAGGAAAGTTGAGGCCTGCTTGTCTCTGGTGTGTGCACCCTGTGCTTCCGGGACAGCCGGGTGTTCTGGAAGGGTTGCAGAGGCGATGGATGCTCCATCCCAGGGCTGGCAAGAAAGAGTACACTCGGGTCTCATCTGTACCGTGGCCTCCGGAAGCATCCTCCAGAAAATAGCTGAGAGAGCTGCCTGCCTCAAGATAGACCATCTGCCTGTCCATCCGCCCGTCCATCCATGCCTCCCTCCATCTATCCATCCATCATCCATCCATCTTTCCATCTCTGTTTATGTAGTTTTTAAAGCTATATCATCATTAGAAATAATAGATGCTTGCTAGAAACCAGTTTTGACAGGTGCCCGCTGAAACCTTCGCCGTACACCTTTTTTTTTTTTTTTTTTTGGTTCTTCTCACGGGAAATGCAGTGGATGGTAGGAACTGATCTTTCATCATGGAGTGTTGTTTCTGTTTCCCTGCCTAATTTACCTTGTGTCTCCTTAGGTCCTCAAGCCTGGGACTCTTCCCCCTTGGCACCTGTCTGAAAGTAATGACACTGCCCCACAGTACTTCCTGTCGCCGGGAAGCGCTTTGAGGTGTCCTGGGATATGAGATCCAATGGGCCATCCTAGGATAAAATACTGATATTAACAACTTACTTACATTTAGAAAAATTAATTATCGTGACTAGAGGGAAACTAATATCGCGATTGGAATTAATTAGTTTCAGTGTTGGTCGTCTTTTAAATCTACCTATTTTGCACTTGGATTGACCTAAAAGTGAAGGAACAATCTAAAGCTGTACCAACCCAACACTGTCACAAGTTTTTCCCATTTCTTGTGTGGTGTGGTGTGTGTGTGTGTGTGTGTGTGTGTGTGTGTGTGTGTGTGTACATACATACATGTGCATGTCTTTTAAATCGGGGCCACATTGTCATTCTGTGTCTAACACCATTTGGTGGTATTTTTATTTCTCTTTAGATATCATCCCATATTCCCTTTCTTTGCCATTGACATCAGCTTATTTCATATGAATGCCTAATATATTAAATACATATGCATTTAAAATATTGTTTTGATTTGTTTGCAAGTTGTTTCTCTTAAAGGTTCTGTCTGGGGAGATGTGTAATTTCTCATATCCTGTGTTTGCAGGAAGAATTTTAAATCGTTTCTCCAAAGACATCGGACACATGGATGACTTGCTTCCCCTGACGTTTCTAGACTTCATCCAGGTATGGAAAGTAATGCCGTGTCCTCACACTCAGACGTGAAAGGCCTGTGTCTTTCTCTTTCTTTTCTGGGGCCTTTCCATGAGGGGGAGAGGGTGGCATTGTGGGCCTGTGGGGCTGGGGATGTGTCATGTTCCCTTATAAAGGGCCCTGTTTGTAGAAGGAGGTGTGGTTACAGTTCGAAGACTAACCTAGCGTGAGTAATAGTGTGTGTAGGAGTGGCTGTGCATTCGTGTCAGGGGTGGCTCATGGCAGCGACATGCGGTAAGTGGCTTTCTGTCTGCCTCCCGGCTATCTGGCGTGGATTTGATTTTACTGTGAACACATTTCATAATACAGAAACAATCACCTCTCACGGAAAGATAGCCCAGATTAACTAAATTATGCATTGTATTGCCACAAAGGGCAAATATTTACTGCACCGCTTTTTTTTTTTGGAGGGGGTGGGGTAAAACCAGGTGTGGTTTCTTACAAAGAACAGATTAGCAATAATAAGGTGGAAATAATACTTTGTTAGCAAGGACAATGGAAGAGCAGTTATTGCAGATCCAGAGCTTTAAGTGCAGGCATGTTTAAGCCAATAATAGGAGCACGGGATCAAAGTCTTCTCAGAAAATGTCTCTTTTTGTTTTCCTGGGCAACTTTTCTTTTCACACATTGATTGCTGTGTCTTAAGGTGTCTTTAAAGAAAAAAAAAAACACACGAGTCCCACAGAAATGCCTCCTTTGAGCCTGTTGTTTTGTCTGTGAACTTGAGGTCCCAACCAATCATGCTGGGTCAACCTCATCTCTCGTCTCCTCTTTCAGCGCTGTTGCTCCTGTGGTTGTTTTATCTGTTTTGTTTCCCTTTCTTCCGCCATCTAATTCTGTCTACTTTTCAGTGACTCAGGCAGGGGATCTTTTTGTCCGCCCCCCACCCCCGCCCCAAGCGTTTATTTTGGAGAAGAAGTGCGTCTATCAAAAGCTATGCTCGTGTTAAAAGCCCAGCTGCTCGAGGCTCCCGTGCCATGATGTTAGACTCTTTGCACTCTCCTGACTGGCTGTCAGCTTACAGCCGTTCTCACCGGAAGTGGAGGCGTCCAGGCGGGGTCTTCAGTGATGCCCCCCGGTCTTGCTGGACTTTCCCCTTTGCTTCTGTGCTCGTCACTCTTCAGGCCCAAGCTTAGGGTTCGCTTTCGGAGTCAACTGGTCTAAAGATTGGATTGGTTACTTAATTTGGAAAACCAGCTGTGTCGACAACAACACAGCAACAGAAAAAAAAAAAAAAAAAGCAACAGTAGGCTACAGCGATTCCCGGAATCGCTGCTAGTCACCCTCAAAGGGAACCCAGCTGTCTGGCTGCAAGCAGCGTGGCCCATAGGCGAGGACATTTCTTTTCACCTACCTGGGGCTCACAAGTGGCGTCTCTGTGCCTCAGATCAACCCACCAGGCGTTTTTTTTGTATTTTTGCTCCTGGGAACTTGGTTTTTTAAATGCATCCTGCTGGATTGAGCTATGTCCTTTATCCCCTCACGGCAACCTCTTTCCCTGCAGAGTTGTCCCTCCCAGCCCACAGAGTACAGATACCTTCAGCCGCGCGCGTGTTTTGACAGAGGCCATGGGTTACTTCTAGGAGAATTTGCAAAGGGTTCTTGTTTTTCCCCCAGCGCCCCCAAGGTTGAGTTTCCAAAGCTGCCAGGCCCACCGTGTGTTTAGCAGAGTGAGCCTTGCTAATTAGAATCCATTGTGGGATTTCCACGTGGAAGGGGGGGGGATGCCCTTGATGTACGCCTCTTGATTTCAGTGTGACACACTCTTAGCATGGTGAGTAGAGAGAATTCCAGTCCTGATGTGACTTCAGTCTGACCACATATACCAGGGTCTTTATCCGTTACCCACCCACGTGATCTTGGTACACTTAACCGTTGTTAACTACTTTTGGCGCCGATTAGCCAGTTTCTGGAGGCTTCCAAACAGGTGCCTCTTGGTGCTGTTGCCCCTCCCAAAGGAGTCTCACGTAAAGGATAACTCAGTTATCAGTTAAGGTACAGCTCTGTTGTCACTCAGGGTGTTTGCAGGTGTCTCCTATAATAAGCCTTCCTCTAATCCTTTCGGGAAGAACTATTTCTCCTTTTAAAACTAGTATTAGCCAAATATAAAAGCCCTGATCCTCAGCCATTGTCGCCGCCTCTTTGAGGGCCGTTTCCCAACATGCATTGTTTAAATGGTTGTCAGGAGGAATCAAGTGAAATTTAGTAAACAGTGCGTAGCTGCTCCCTTGGACCCTGTTAGCCTTCCTGGGGAGGATTTACATCTGATGACGGACTGGGCTTCTTCTCAGAAGAATCGCTGTGATCATTTTTGAATATTCGGTCCCTGTTGCTATATGATCAAGCAAAGACTTCTATGAAAGCCACAAAAAAAAAAAATGAATTTAACCTACCCTCAAAGAAAGGCCAACAAAAATCTAAATGTAAATTGATTTTTTTTTCTTATTAAGCCAGATAGGACTCTGTCAGTACGAAAACTGCCCAGCGGTGTTCTGGGACTCTTAATGGAATCATGTAAACTTAAAATAAACACTATTATGGTAAAGCACATAGAATGAAAACTAATTTTCCAAATCAAATACATTATATTCAATTCATTTTCCCCAATCAACCAAATGTTTGAAACCTGTTAGTTATAACAGCGATCTCCTGGAAATTAATTAGAAGCCTATTAGCTCTGCTAGCTGAGGCGGATGGCCGGGGTTGCTCCTTCCATTTCTAAACAGTCTCTAGAATTAAAGTGCAGCAAGGTCAAAATGACAGCCAGCCTCACTCACCTTGTGGCTGGCCTTATCCCGGAGCTTCTGGGGTGTGGGTGGGCATTTGGGGGGGTGCTCTCCGGAACATTGTGTCTACTCTGCCTCATTTGTAAACACTTGGACTAAGAAGGTGGCTCTCCTGACCTTGCATTCCTGAGACCTGGGTTCTATTCCCTGTACCAACAAAAAAAGCCAAGCAAGAAAGGGACAATGACAGTTACAGTAGTAATTGGAGGATTCGTCATCACATAAGCCATCCAGGCCAGGAGACCTTTGCCCATCAGCAGTGGTACCCGAGTGCCCCCCACACCCCCTTGCATGGGCCTCTGAGGCAGGTGAGGTTTTCCTCAGGGTCTTGTTTACTCGCTCATCCCCTGAGACGGTTTACCGGATCCCCTGACGGGTTTTCTTAGCCTCTTTCAAGAGTGACCTGAGAGCCAGCTTTCCGTCTGTCCCGCTTTTGTTCCCAGCATCCTCGGCAAACCCTGCCGCTGGCAGCAGGAGACCCCGGGTCTTGATGTCCTTGGTCAGATCCTGGAGGTAGTTACAGCTCCTCCTGTGTACAGGGAGCTCCCCAGGATGCTCTTCCGCTCAGCTTGGCTGAGCCGTTGAGTTCAGATGGAGCTGGGGACCAGACAGTGCCTATGGGTCTCCAGGGGAGTGAGCGTCCACCCAGCCATCCCCCAGCTGGCGTGAGCGTGGGGGCGTATGTCCTGGCCCACAGAGTGAAAACCCAAGCTGAAGCGATAGGAAAGCCAAGCATAACTGAGGGAAGGACTGCTTGCTTGCCCCTGGGCCCCCGGGTTCATCCTGATGAAGGATATGCAGCTGCCCACGTGTTTCCGGACGGTAAGATCCGATAGCTCCAGAAGTGATAACGTAACGACGTTCACGCCTGTGGACCGTTTCATCAAGAGTGTGTGTGCCTCGTCACCTTTCCTGAAAGACGGTGGTGACCCTTTAGTGGGCTTTGTGAGTGGTTCAGAGTTTGCCTTTCCACCCGAGTGCGGAAGCTGAGGAATTGACGGGATGGGGCCTGAGAGGACGGGACCCCTCACTTGTGACAGGGCACCCAGCGTCCGTGTGCTCTGAGGAAACCAGTCAGAAGTCTGGGCAGAGATCCGCCGTGCTGCCGGTGGGATGGCTAAGTGAAGGAGATCCTATTTAAGCCATGAATAAAGTTGCAGGCCACACAGAGGTCTACTTTTGTCCGTCAGGCTTCAGCCAAAGGTTGATATTTCTGTGGACATGGATGGGGTATTGGGTATTGGTATTTAGAGTGATAAATTAGCGACTAGACAGACACACTTTTAACTGACAAGATGTTGCAAGAGATAGAACTTAATTGAAGGGCGTTTCGAGTAAAGTAGGGATACATGATTGGAAATAACAAGTATAAAATGCAAAGCTCTATTGGAGTTGCCAATGCCTGGCAGCGTACCTCTGGCTTAAAAGGGGTTGTTCAAATGTGTTCCTTTTCTTTCTCAAGAAACGGCAACCGCTTTGAGTGTGAGCAGGTTTCCTAAAGGCAAGTTCTCCATCAAGACAGAATAGTTTTCTGCAGGTTAAAACTAGATGGTGTTACAGAAATAGGAATTACAATGGCAATGTCATCTCACTGTCTGCCCCTCAGATATGAGAGATCAGGAGAGACTACAGTGTTAGAGCAGGGGTTTGACCTTCAGAAGATGATTGTAGATGATTGTATTGGTAAACTGTGTGTGTGCGTGCATGCGTGCGTGTGTGCATGTGTGGCAGAGGACAGGCTGCCTCCTTCCTCCTAGAAATGGGATCAGAGAGGATGGCCTGAAGCCAGCAGGAAGCAAAGCTTGAAGCCCCTTCCCATAGCTTGCCTGGTGCCCCCTCCCCTCATGAACCCAAATTTCTTAAAAGCTGGCATACACGTTTGAGGTCACATTTACGCGAAAGGCCTGAAAACAGGCAGGGGGCCATCCCAGCGAAGGAGGTAGACCCGTGTGTGTCCTGAGGAGAGGCCTGTGCGTGCAGTGGAAGGGAGGCATGCTGCCCACAGTCCCCGTATGCACTTCCTCTCACCTGAGCAAGATGAGGGAGGTTGGCAGGGAGCATTCTGATTTATCTTTTTTAAAGGATGTTGTACTGAGTGCCAAGTGTATTGTGACTAAATTTCTGATGATTCTTCTTGGGCTTGACATGCGATGAATCTCAATCGTTTTAGTTTTTAACCACTCCCCA